TTTGTAATGCAAGATTGCTATGAATTATGATATGATAGGTGAGCATGCATGCATGGTGTTATATATTATGGTGTAGATAGATAGTGTCTATAGATAAGGGACCGTTTACCTAAACACTTACCTGGTAAATGTTTATCGGTAAAATTTAACAATATCGTATACTTACCGAGTAGGATTTGAGTCCACCAAAACAACATTATATGTAATAATTTATGCGGTAAGCGCTAACCGTGGTAAGAGTCGTCGCCATCACTTACCGGGTAAGACTCTTGATCATTGTCTTCGCTCTTATCAGGTAAGACTCAGAGAAGCGAACAATCTTCGACGTGATCTTGGTTGCGGGCCAAGTCGCCCTTACACCACTAAGCCCCATCACAAGTACTATCATATGTGATAAGAGTGTTGTTGATATGATACTATAATCCATCAAAACCATCACATGAGATGCTAAATTATAGACGCAAACAACCTTTGACGCGACCTAAGTCGTATAACACGTCATCCGCACATCACAGGGTCCTCTCACGCATATTATCACATGTGATAATGGTGTTCTTGCGTTCTCGTAAAATGGAGGTGTTCTCATTTGAACCTCTACCTATATATATATATATATATATATATATATATATATATATATATTGGCATGTGTATTTTTATTTAATTTATTTTCTCAATTTTTGTTCCTACTGTTTCGTCGGTGTGTCGTTTGCGATTAATGTTTGAAAATTTTCTTTTTTTACTGATCAAGTGGATTTTTTTTTATCTAATTTTCTTTAAAAAAAATTAAATAAAAAATGATTTATAATAGTATATACAAGGGTCATTCATGAAAGAGCTTTATATTTTATAATATCTATAAACATTCAATATTAATTGCTCAACAACCGAATTGAAGACTATGATAATTTTATAATAAATGCGAAAATATTAATCAATTTTAATTTTAAATAGAATTTTAGAATTAAAAAATACAATGAAATCACGTGCATACCTCCTTATTTATATTATCTATACTATTTTATAAAACATTTGGCTAAAACTCTTAAAAACTCTTAAAATTTTTAAAACTTTTAAAAACTCTTAAAATCGTTCATCCTTAAACGATTTCATCCCTATCCGATTTCATC